CCCCCGGCGGGTCGATGGCAACGACCCAGGTTACCACTACCCCATTAATGCGCACGACAAATTAAACGGCGGATTACTATGGATCCATGTACGTCAAGCCTCGACATCTACCCAGTATAGTCTATCACCTGTATGGTTACTATCGAGAATAATGTCTAGGTGCAAGGAAGTGAAAGGAGTAGACATACGCGCACGAAAGAGCACTGTGCTAACCGACGACGGTCATACAACAAATCCCTATATTTGGTATCAGCGACCTGAGCAGCCTCACGTCACAATGCAGAGACGTACCCCGTTCAGAAGAATGATCTGACCATTCACCCAGCGCGCCCCATCCGAAGCTAAGAAAGCTACAACGGGGCTGATATCGTCCGGGCGGCCCAGGCGTCTCTCGGGAGCGAGATCAGCGATGTGCTGAATTTGCTCCTCCGGCCTGCCGGTACGGAAAAGAGGTGTATCGGTCGGACCGGGGTTCACACAGTTAACCGTGATACCCTTAGCGCCTGCCAAGGGGTATTCAGCGTCATCGTATTCATCATAGGCCTAGCGAATGTACCCAAATCCTTAGCGAGCGTACGAGTGATTTGTTCTATGGCCCCCTTCGTCGCTACGTAGACGATATTATTGGGACGAACAGTATCCTGGTGGGTCAGCGACGTTGAAAAGAAGATAACGCGCCCACTCCCTGAAGGTGTGGGTACTGAGTTGTTGATCCTGTTACGTTGTTAAGAGGGAACTCACCTTCAGGAAGCAATGGAGCGGCAAGTTTGGTTAGGAAGAAGGGTCCTTTGACGTTGATATTCATATGCTTGTCGTAAAACGTCTCGTCTACCTCCAAGAGAGCACCGGACCCCATGATGGCAGCATTGAGCACCAGTATATCGAGCTGTTCGTCAAATGTAAGCGCATGTCTGACCAGTCTAATCAGGTACTGGCCTTGCCAAAGGCGCGCAATGTCTCGTTGAGCAGGGTTCTCGCGCCATCTACGGAAGAGCCTGTACTGCAATAGCAACGCCGCGACCGGAAGCGTTGATATCTAAGACTGTTTCATCCGCCGCCTTTGCGTCGGAAACATAGTTCACAACGACAGATGCACCGTCATATGCAAGCTGCTTTGCGATGGCGGCACCGATGGAGCGCGAGCTACAACGAGAGCACCTACATTAATACAATATATCCAGCCTATAAGGGAGTGACATACCTGCCAGTGACAATTGCGACCTTACTGGCGAGGGACATCTTGATGAGATAGATAGAACTAAGACAATGGCGGGCGACTTGGAGGCTTGGGGATCGGTTGAGTGAATATATTCTGGGAGTTGGCAAAGGTTTTATAGGCGAGCTGGATGATAAGCATCCTCGGAGTGTATCGTCAAGGCCGAGCCAAAAGGCTCAGCGATGTTGCGAGAGTGCATGATTGGGGGGTAGGGCGTCAGTGACATGCGGGAGGAGCAACAATGACACCGTCCGAACGTTTCCGAAGAACGGAAGACACTGTTTGCCACACCAAGTCCGCGACAAAGAAAATGAGAGAAGCTTTGGAGATGACATTCTCGTAGGGTCTTTGCGTCAGAAGTGCCCGAGAGTTTCACGGGCAGACATAATGGGAAGGAAACGGCCATCTTTGTAGTGTCCGACGCATCTTTGCGGTCGCGCTACGGTTTCGGCGACAGTGAGAGAATTTCGTGTGTCTAAATATCATCCATAGCGTCGAAGTGGGCGCGCCTTTCTGGTAGTCCCCCAGACCAATGAGAAGGGGACGAAGAGCCGTACGCAAGCCGACCTTCAGCCCATCAAGGCAGGAAACAAACCGTGCAATTAAGCCCGAGATCATTCATTGTGACAGGACACGATCACCTGATTTCATTCTCGACGGACGTGTACGCGGCTGACACACTTGGGAGGACACCCTCACGCGTTATTTGTTTCAGCATACGAGAGATAGTGGACGGTAATAAATATAATGATGTACAGTGAGTAACGGACGCCACATCTATTCAGCTATCTATACATATCTGCTTCAAGCTTCCATCGCACCCACTGACTTCCAGTAACGAACATACTCCTCCAAATGACGCCTTTCGATCGGGCCGCTGCTCGCCATAGTCTGTGAGACAGAGCATGCCTTCTCCGTACCGAGCGCAACGGTTCCAGATGACATCCGCAGGAAATCGCGCTCGAGGAACTCGAAGAGCTTCGAAGCGGGATTCTTCTGCGGATCATTGCCCAGAGCATGCACGCGCTCGAGCCACTGGGCGTATGGGAGACTGTCCGCACCTCCAAGCAGCTCAGAGAGATTCGTCAACACACTAGACCAAGTTTGACGCGCGGGGTTCTCCAAGTGCATGATGGGCGCGAAATCTTTCGCGAATAGGAAGTCGGTGATCGCATTGGCTGCGCGGTTCACCGGGATCCACGAAAGCGTCTGCAACATTGGATCAGCCAAATCGGAATGACAGATTATTGACATCACATACACCCTCCAGCTCCGGAACCGCTTTCAGTTTCTGCGATGTCGCCACAATGATGGGAAAGTGCTCGCTCGCATTCCATACGCCCGAACCCTCTGGGCCAGTCATTTGTCCGATACGCACACTCGATGCCTCGATGAGCGGCTGTTCATCACTGCCGAAAAGCTTGTTTGCTGCCAGCAAGATTTCTTCGCCCACCCACTTTGCTTCAGGATAGCCGAACGCAGCCGTCACATGTGCCTCAAGCGGGATCTCGGGAACGGCGCCCGCGCCTGGATTGAGAAGAGGGTAGCGGCCGGCGACAGCGATAGTAGACGCGAAAAGGATGCGACGCGGGCGATGATCGGATGCGTTGCGAGTTGCACTAAACAGAGCGAGGTGTATGAGGTTGTCGAGCGCCGTGATGGACGAGTCGAACGAGGTCACGGTGCGATTGAAGTTGACGGGCCAAGCATTGTGAATGATATGCGTCACGGAAAGCAGCTGTAAGGATGTTAGAAAGGGCCTGCTACTCTTTTGACTCAAGAGCTCACTTCATCGTATAACTCCGCCTGGAGACCGAAATAGGGCTTGCTGGTATCGCAACCGAGGACAGTGACCTTCTCCTTCCATATGTGATCGTCGAGAGAGGCGCCGCGCTCCTTCATTGCGTCCATCTGACGCTGGCGGGCCTCGAGCCCGCCACGGTTCAGGCAGATAACCTTGTTCACGGAAGGGTCCATGGCCAGGCGGGCGAGAAGAAGGCAGCCGAGGCTGCCCGAGGCGCCTGTGATGAGAATGACATTATCTTCATGCTTCCTCGGCGTGCTCTGACCGCGAGCGGTGCGAGCGTTCAAGGCATCCTCCGTGTAGGAACGTAGCTGAGCTGTGTGCTTCTCGACAAGAGCGCGCATAGCCTCAAGGCGTTCTTTCTCAGCATCGTGTTCGCCCTTCGCGGACTCCCCGTCCATCAACTTCTCCAAGAAGGCGAGCAACGCGTTGACCGACGAGTGTTCATATATGAGGTCGCGCGGCAGATCATCGACGGGACGGGGAAGGCCGGGTGTGATGCGAAGACCGTTGAGGAGGGTTTGGCGAGCGCGCGCAGCTTGAAGGCTATCCATGCCCGCCTCGAATAAGTCAGCGGCATCGTCGAGGTCATCCAAGTTGTCCAGGGACAGCACAGTTCCGATAATACCTCGCAGAGCGCTCCTGAGCGCAGAAGGATCATCGCGTGAAGGAAGCGGCGCCGCGGCGGCTGTCTCGGCACACTCATAGGCGCCCTTGATCTCATCGTCAAAGGCGGCAAAGATAGCCTTTCGAGACAGCGAACCCTTGTCCGTGCGTGGAAGGGGTTTTGTGTCGGCGTAGGTGAGCACGAGCATCTCGCGCGAGACTTTGGCGTGTTTATCCATGAGGGTATTACCGCGAATAAGGTAGGGATCGAGGGCAGCAAGCACATCTTCGCGCGCCGCTCCACTACCAACGCCGACGAGCTCGACGATAAGGCCCAGCGATGCCTTGCCGTCGCCAAATGCAATTGCAGCGCGCACGTCAGGATGCTCCGCGACAGCTGTCTCGATGCCCGTGGGCCGGACCTTCTCGCCGGTCCCGAGGACGATGAGGTCATCAACGCGCCCGAGAATCCTGTACTGCGATGCATCGTGCGGATGGCGCTCAAGCAGATCCTGCACCACGAGCTCTTGGTCCCAGCCCGCGGGGCGCCCAACAAGCTGGAAGTGCTGCTTGGAGCCGTCGACGGGGCGAAACTCGAGACCGGTATCGGTGCGCGGCATCAGGTAGCGAGGGTCGTACCCTGGTGGTGGACGCTCTATAGGCGCGATGGGACCGAACTCGGTGGCGCCTACACAGATACATGAATGCCCACGCTGTGAACAGAGAGGCAATATGCTTACCCCAATGGTTGAGAAGCTTGATGTCGTGCGCCACAAGCTCTTGAAGAACCTTCTCGCCGATTGAAGCGCCTCCCACGGCTACAAACTCTAGTTGTTGAAGCGCCTTGATTGCCCTGTCACCCTCGCGCAGAAGGTCTTCGATAATCGAGGGCACGGTGAATAGAGAGCGGGCGTTGCTGAACTCGAGCTGTTTCAAGGTAGAACGAGCAGTTGGGATGGTAGTGGCTGCTGGTAAAACGAAGGTCAAGCCGATGGATAACGCAAGCCCTGGTGCCCCGAGACCGAAACCCTAGGATCATTCAACTTGGGACGCCAGGAAAGACCACGAGTAACGGAACTCACATGATACAAGGGAAGGGTTGAGGCATTGAAGTGCATAGGTGCCTTCTGCTCGGGGGTTCTGTGACCAGAGGCGATTGCAAGACCATACGCGCGTGCATGATAAATCGGTTTCGGAAGGCCAGTTGTGCCACTCGAGTGCATGATGATAGCATCGCGGTCGGTGTAATGAAAGTCGCGGTAGACAGGGGGGGTCTGCAGACTCTGCAACTGCGCGTGCGTGCCGTCGAGGAAATCGTCGGCGGTCAGAGCCGGGATGAACTGTGGTTTATCCGATGTGCCATCAAGTAAGGGCATGGTTTCCTTTACTGAGCGCGCAACCTGCGAGGATGTCAAAACAGTAGATGGGCCGGTTGCCTTCATGAGGTGTGCGATCGCAACTGGAGTCAAACGAGCGGACAGGAGCAGGGCCTGAAGTGAGAGTACTCTGTCAGTATTGGCTTTTGATCGGCGCAGAAGGATGCTCACGGGAGTTCCTATGCGTAGAAGCGCAAGTATGTAGATGAAAATGCCGACGTCGCTACCCAGTAAGATAGCAACTGGTGCGATGATGTCTGTGCGTGAGGTACGACCTGTCGTCACACCGATGTGGACGAGCCATCCAGCAGCACGCTCGACGGCCAAAGAGAGCTCTGCAAAAGTGATCTTGCGCCCCGAGTATATGTCGCCAGAGCGTAGTTGAATCGCAAAGAGATGATCGGGATTGTGCTTGGCGTTGAACTCGAGAAGCTCAGGAAGCGAGTTCACGCCTGCTGGATCATCAAGCTCGAAGCCCAAGTTGATGTGAGCGCGAACGAAGGTGTTGTGGAGGATAGGCATGGAGATCACGCCAGCGGTTTGTGGAGTGAGCGATATTCACTGGCGAGTAAAGACTCTCATCCATATCTGCTCGTTAAAAGCCAGGTACCCATCCCGGACATTGCGATGGAGCACGACTGTCCGTCTCAATAGAGAGCATAGCGGGACGGTCAATCCCCGCATTGGTGTAGGCATGACCGAAGCAGTTTCGATAGATCTGGCGGGTTGACAAGTGCCCATATAAAAACGCCGAGATCGCAACAGTTCGCAGTGGATGTAAGAGGCAAGAAGTTGCCGTGACCGGTGACGAGCCCGACGTTGGGCGCGCTTTGGGCGCCGCGCGTGCGGGTCCCTTGCTGTCCCTTGCTCAGCCACCACGGGCATGAATAGCCTTCCATGTATTATGTTCCAGCTCAATACGCCTCGTGCTCCCACCATCCTGCCGCCTACTCAGAGTAGCTGAACCATAAATATAAGGAAATATGCTGCAATCCAATCAAAGGGCAGATCGCCGCTCCCTATGCCGCTGGCGACTTCTCCCGCCGACCGACCCTCCGCCTGTCGATGCGTGCCCTGAACCTCGGGATGCGGACGACCAACTGCTGTGTCATGACACTAGCACGGTCCATCGTCGAATGAGTGGCCAGGCTCATACGGTATGCCGGAGACGCACGAACCCTCGGCGGACTTGGATGTGGAGTTGTGTGAAGGGTCGAGTTATGGCACTTCTGCCGCACAGTACCCCACGCTTCTACGTCTGCACACTCTATACGTGAACTCTGTGAAGATAGGCACTAGTATGTGCGACTCAGGCGAGTACGGATTGCTGTCCAGCCGCCTCAACCTCGGTGCGGTGTGCAAAGTTCCTGTGTCATGTTGGGGAGGACACGTTCATTCAATAAAAATAACTACAGATCGCGTGCCGACAGCGAGCACAACCGCCAGAGAAGCATACTAGACTACGGGAGACAAGTAATCGTGGGTATAAGCATACGAAGAGCGGCTACAATTTGGCGGCGGTCAATTGGAAAGAAGGCGGATAGTCGATCAATGAGTGGGTGCTTCCCCGCCGCGTGAACTCTAGAGACTCAGCATTACTGTCGTAGGTCTTCATCGAACCAACATACTCGTCCCACTTCTCCTGTGAGACAATGGGGGCGGTGACATAAGGTTCTATCTCCATAGGCGCCAAGAACTCCTCCAGGCGCGAGTACACGTTGTCGACAGCTGTTGCCTCCATTTTGCGCTGCCGTATCCGTGAGAGTCCCATGTTCTCAACGTAGAAGGCCGGGTCTTTCTTCACGCATGCAGCGACAAAGAGGTCTAGCAAACAAGGATCGACTCCTGCAGCGACGGCCGCGTCGAACGCCATCCTGTGCCCGATCGCTGTGATGAACTCTACAGATCGAGGTAGGATTTCACGGTCGAAGTCGGAGCCACGATGGTTGGGCATGATGCGGAGAGCACTCTTCAACTCGCCCTCAAGCCCCAGCTCGTGTCGGGCAAGCAAGCTTGTGACGTCCTTGGTCTCAGGGATCGAATACCTCCCCAAGAGTAGCTCCGAAGCAAGGCCTAACAACATCAACGTCAATACCATGGTTACTGACACGTCAGGAGGTGGAGACATACGGATGGAAATGACTAGCAAGTCTCCCTCCGCAATCGCAGTGCCGCGCATGTCATTCTGAAGAGAACGAGTTGCCTATTAGTGCTGCCGAGGGACGAGGAGGCCAGGTATCTGTACGTACAAACATGGCGCTGAGCTGGTTGACTTCGAAGAGACCTTGAGCTCCCATGCGGTCACTGAGAGTTAGATGCGCCTCTTGCGCGGCAAACAGGAGGGTGACCTTCGTGATCATAGCTATGGCGTGGCGGACGCGCGGATCTTGGGACTCGTCGCGGAATAGGTCGACCGTGTAGTCTAGCATAGCGCGTATGACATATGCTTGGGCCAGCACGGTCACAATCGGCGTCTTCTGAGTGCGAAACTCGATGATGGGGAGCTGATTTCCGGGTGCCGCGTGATCGAACACTTTTCTACGTTGACTATATCGCGCAGCGAGGTACGAAGATATCTGAAGACTGGGGACAGCCACAGAGGATACGGCTATCGTGCCGACTGTGGAATATTAGCAGTGATTGCATGCACAAAGAGGCGTACAAACCTGCAACGCGAAATATATTGAAGAAAAACGCCATTCTGGCGTCGTCAGGCATGTCGATCGGGCCCAATAGAGCGTGTGCCGGGAGTCGTACATGATGGAAGTATGTGAGTGAGTGATTCAGAGGACGCGAGCCGCCTTTCTGAGGGAGAAGCCTGTCCACTGACGGTTACTAGGCCGATGACGCGTCGACAGTTGAGAGAACCATACTTCGAAGTAATCCCCTTGTTCATCGTTCTCCCATCGTGTAAATGAACCAGGTACGGTTTGATCCCACGATCTTCGCCCTCGACGATAGTCCGAGCGAACACCACTGCGCTGCAAGGCAAGCCAATAGGACTTGTAGGCGGCATGTATCTGTAATAGGGTACCGGGTGAGTCAGGGTTGAGCACCGTCGCAGAAGGAATTCTCACTTCGCTGCCCCATCATGCGGGGTATGGAGATCAAACGTTCCGTCCGGCATGCTCACAGCGCGTGTCTCCATGTTGATGACATCGAGGCCGTGGGCTACCTCTGTGAGGCAGAACTGACCTCTATTATGACCATGTTAGGCATTGGGTGGTAAAGATAGAGAGTGATGCGCACGATATATCGAACCTGAGCACCTTCTCCAGAGTAGCGCGCACGGTAGGATGCGAGTCGGCAAACATTGCCAGCGTTCCTGCGCAGCAGTTATACTGAAGCGTGATCAATGTTGCCGCTGCCCCGTCCATACCCCACATTGGATCGGTGTGTACATCCCAAAAGCGCGGAGAGAGGTTGAGCACGTCGTCTTCAGAGAGTTCTACGACATCGTCAGCTGGAATTGACGGGATCGTCGAATTGCACGCACTGTATGCACGCCCAATGGCCTGTGCTCTCTTGTAAGAGATCTCGAACCGCTTCTCCAAGGGCAAGTTCTCGGAGTGCAACTGGAAGAGTGGCGTCTTCGCCAACTCGCGCGTAGGGCGAGAACCGTTGCGAAACATGGGTGCTAACAGCACACGCTTGAGACGTACGAGAGCCCAAAGAGCCTCCTGTTTATGCGTTTGTATGTTGACCTTGTTTCGTCACTGATTCCGCGTATGAATACATCGGTAATCTCGGGTGAATGTGTCGCCTAGAATCTGATGATACTTACACTCACTGGTAAGGGCTATCATTTGTTGTGTATGATATCGTGAGACACTGATGTTCTGGATTCATCAACCTATTCTTTGGGATAAGGTGGCGATAGGGACGGCAGAATCCCATGCCAACAACAGCTCCCTTGGTGTTATCTGCAGGTACGGTACTTTTCCGTACGGTAACGCCTGAGAACTCCGGTCATCGTCGTGAAACGTCGAAACATGATGGAAAATGATGCAGAAGCTCCGGGAAACAAACATATGACCGGTGTCGTTGCCTTGCAATCGCGCAGTGTCCTGGTTACTGATAGCAAACTACCACAGTCAGCAGAAGAAGACCTGTGCCCATACTGCGAAAGTCTTTACCCTAGAATTGTGGTCATGCGGCCGACATGGAGGAGTGCGATGTGGTAAGACGAAGAGTGTTTGTTTCATCTTGACGAACTCGACTACGTACAGCTACAGCTTTGCAGCCTGCCTCCATACGCGTTCACACGCACCCCAGTATCTTTCTGGAAACTCTCTGGCGTGCGTTATATGCCAACTCCGCTGGAATTTCTCCAACTTGACCGGATGTCCTTTGCCCCTAGCGTCTTCCGCGTGCCGCTCGATATCCTCAGCTAGAGAGATGCGATCTCGAGGCGAGTAGACATACAACCGGATTGAAGACCTGGCAGGGGTAATATGTGGTAGGAGTTCCTGCTCGTTGAGGCTTTCGCGTGCCTCTGTGAAGATGGGGCGATGTCCGCTGAGCGCATTGAGCACGTAGAATAGGCCGTATCCGGCCGCTGCGATTGGGATGAAGGCGTAGCGATGCACCGGATTCGGGAGTGGAAGAGCGGTGCTCGATACGATCGAATGTAATCCGTGGTCTCCCGGAGTTGAATCAAGGATGAGAACAGAAGGGACGTCAGGGGAAGCCGGTATTCCAGAGAAATCCGACTTCGCAAGCAGGTCCCTCAGAATCATCAGTTGGAAGACAGCGCCTGATGTAAACATGTATCAGAATCATCAGATGGAGACGAAT